TTCGAGGCGGCACACTCCGCCGTGCTGGCCGTGCTCTCCTGTCCGCACAACGCTCCACTCACAGCGAATATCATCCCGTTTTATATCTCGACGTTGCTCTCTTCTTTCCCGAGTCATATCACCCCAAGACAGTTCCGTCTGGCGTTTAAGACGGTATTGCAGATCGTCTCCCCGCCGTTTCCGCTATCTAAGTCACACCCCGAGATGGCGGAGACACTGCTAGAAATGGTTCGCTTCCGCGCTGCAACGTCCAAATCCGACCCTGTCGCTACCGCTATTCTCCCCTCTCAACAGAGAGACGGAGAGCAACAACAAGAAGAACCAATGTCCGAACAATCTACCCTCGTCCTAACCCTCCTCGACTCCCTCCCTTACTTGTCGGATGCAATCTTCGAGGAGTGGCTTACCCTCGCGGCAAGGGCAGTTCACGACATTTCTGGGCCGGATGCGGCGCGGCTCAAAGAGGCTGCGAAACGGAGGTTTTGGGATGTCTTGAGTAGCGGGGAGATGGATGTCGAGCGGGCGACGAGGGCGTTGGCGTGGTGGGGGACGCGCGGGGGGGAGAGGGGATGGGTGCTTTTTGGACGGTTTCCCGAGGGGGAGACAATAGAGGGGGATTGTGTGATTGATGTGCCAGGCGGACAAGAGGCGGCTAAGGAGGGAGGGGAGAAGTACTTGATGAGTGGGGCGTTGCCCAAGGACGAGAAGGAAGAGGGGAAGGAAGAAAAGATTAGGAGTAAGTTGTAGATGGGGGATCATTGGGGGAGTAATATATGAGTGTGAAGAGCGAGCGGGTTTCACGACAGGCACCTAGGTAGTTTAAGGTATGGATTGCGTATCGATATCTTTTGTCTATTATGATGGTTAGGTATTTAGACTTGTTGTATTGTATCTATCTTGCTGGGAACGGGATGTCTGTAGCGAATTGATGAGATACCATCCATCTCACTTTCTTTTTTGAACGTATAAGGTGCTGCGTGAGTTGAACTTATGACATGGGTTTGTCTTGGAGAAATGGCCAACCCAGCGCTGACAAGTGACTTAGGCATTTTCCAACATCCCTTGGAGAGTGCCGTGAACTTTTTACGATGACGCTACGTGCCTTAACAGTCTACTGTGGGAGACTCGGATACGCACGACAGACAAACAAAGAGTCAGCATTATTGATGACCCCCCGAGATAAGTTATCTTAAGTCGAATATCGGTAAACCTATAACTTCCAGATGTCATGTAGCAAATCCCGGTTTTTATTATCCTCCAATCCTAACGCCATTGTTCGCTCCAACCGGCAAACACCATCCCTCCCATATCTAGTAAATACTCATTGAAGTTCCTTGCTGACGTTAAAACCTAAATATACACGCAGCCGCCCAATATATTTTTTTTGTCTATCCCTGTCCCGGCGCAACATGTCATCACTGCAGCTTGTTGGCAAGCAAGATGCAAGTAGCTCGTATCACTCAGATCGTGCGTCCATCAACGCATCGAGGTCAATCAGCCGGCGCATCTCAGCCCACTCGTTGTCAAACCCAGCCTGGTCGTCAGCTGGAGTAGCTGACTCGATCCAGAAGGGCTCGTTACTCGCCACAGCAGCCGCATCTCCTCCCTGCAGCCCTTGCAGCCGCGGATCGATGGTAGTCTCCTGAGCAGGCTGACCAACTCCATCTGCGCCATCTGGCATCATCACCGCCTCTTCCTGTCCCCCCAGCTCTAGCTGACTGAAGTGTACCGCCTCCAGATGTCTCTCCAAGTCATGATGCCTCACAAACCTTGCCACACACCCATCCACCGAGCACGCAATCGTCCTTGTCGGTACCGCAGCCGACATTTCATCCGTCTCCCCCGGTCGCGCCGACTTGATCGTATATGTCGCGGGCGGTCGCTTCCTACCCAAATGCACATACCGCACGTGCTCTTCCAGCTTGAGCCGGCTCGAAAACGCCTGCCCGCAACCTTCTTCTTTCCAGTTCCAGTCTGTGATGTCTGGTGTGGTGAACGTGTCGACTTGTCCGCACACGAAGCGCACGCCTTGGTGGGCGGTCCGGATGTGCACGTTGAGGTTGGACACTCGTGTGAATTTCTTGTTGCAGCCTTCCCATGTGCAGGCGACTGTTTTCCGGTCTTCGACCGTCGTGCCGGAGTGGTACATATCGATGTGCCGCTCTAACTCAGCCTGGCTGCTGCAACGGACGTCACAGAAGACACAGTTGACGTGTTCCTTGCGCATGTGTGCCTGGAGCTGGAGCAACGTCCGGAACCCAACCCTGCGACCTCCTCCTCCTTCACCATCTTCACCCTCGTCCTTGCCGCATTCCTCGCACCAGAACTTAATCTCCCCATGCTCGCGGTCTGTATGCCGCCGCAGGGCCCCCGCACTATCAAACCCGGCCTCGCAGCCCTCCACTCCGCAAACGAAGGGCTGTAGCCCAAGATGTGCGACCCGAATGTGTCGTGCCAACGTCTGATGCTTCCTAAAACTCGCACTGCATCCCTCGTACCCCCTGCACCTAAATCTCTCCTGCCCCTCGTGCACAGCCGCATGCCGACGCAATCTGGTGGCCGTGACGAACGCCTTGCCGCAGTTGGGCACCTGGCACACGTACTTCCGTTCATGGGTGTGAGAGCCCTTGATGTGTTGCGTGAGGTGTTTTTCTTCGAGATAGGTTTTTGTGCAGCCTTCGTAGGGGCAAGCGAAGGGGCGGTCGTTAGTGTGAGACCGCAAATGGGCTGCCAGCCGGGCAGGTCGGTTGAAGGTCTTGGGGCAGTTGGGGTAGGTGCAGGGGATAGTCTTCAGGTCGGAAGGAAAGCGACGAGTTCGTTTAGCGGTGGTACCAGTAATCGTTGAGGCTGGGACAGTCGAGGCTGGTGTTGGGGGTTCACAGGCAGGGTGGATGGAGGAGATGACGGTCTCATTGTCATCTTGGTCGGCTGGGGGTGTCGAAGCGGCTGAGTCTGCTGAAGCTGGGGTTGATAGGGGAAGTACCGTCGCTTCCTCTCGCGCTAAAGCTGGTGTACATGCTGCTGAAGTCGAGGACGGCCGGGAAGCTGGGAGCAGAATAGCTGTGAACTCTGAATGTTGTTGGTCTTCTGTCTGCTGTCGTTTCGCAGGCCCAAGGCCGGCGTCCTCGTCGGGGGCCTTTCGTTTCATGGCACTGCTCGTATCATTAGCGGCCTGAGCGAGCAGCGAAGAGAATACGGTTGTTTGAGGAAGGATGCTTCGACAGAGCTCCAATTGATAATTTTTGCATGTGTAAATTGTGTAAATGCAGTGTAAGAGCTGTCGAATTGATATTGGCCCAACTTTTTTGTGGGGTGCCAAGCTCGGCTGCAGGTTCCCCGGCAGGCAAGCCGCAAGGCTACGCTTAACGCCAACGCATATGCGAGGGATGGTATCGACAGGTCGTTGGCAATTGTAAATAATTGAGAAGAGAGATCGAACTCGTTTTCTGTAACATTCATAGCGAATACAATATATTTCATATTCTCCAAATCTGGAAGTGAAAGATAGGGTTGAGCACCAAACAAAGCGCGAGGCTGACGGCGGCAAAGCTCTCAGGACGAGCGCTGAGTCGCTGACAGGGGGGACCGCCCCACTCAAATTTTTCACGTCCTCTCAGCCTCCCGCCGCGGCGCATCCTGCTTTATCGCTTCCATCAACAAAAGCCGTCCCTCCATCCACAAGGTGCCATCACCGCTACGACATCTCATCCCACATCCATCGCGCTCCAATCGCTCGCGTAGCTCTACACCTATACCCATAGGCATTTTAACTCACCATGTCTGATTACGGCGACGACGACCGTGAGCTTGTGTAAGCTCCGCTCAATCTCCTTCCGCATCTTGAACCTGATCACACGCTAAACGCACGCAGCAACGACGAGCCCACCTTTGACGAGGATCCCGATGAGTACTACGAGCCGGAGCCAGAGCCGGCCGATGAAGACGAGGCCGTTCGCCAGGCCGACCAGGAGGGTGAGCAGGGCGACCAGGACCACGTCATCGTCTCGGGCGACCCCAATGCCGCCGCCAACCACGGCAAGGGCAACGACAAGTCGCACAAGGACAAGAAGATTCCGAACGACCAGCGCACAACAACGCCCTTCATGACTAAGTACGAACGCGCCCGTATTCTGGGCACGCGCGCGCTGCAGATCAGGTGGGTAATTCCTGGGGGAGGGGGGGGGGGAAATTCTAGAAATGGATGGAAGATATGCTGACGATGACACAGCATGAACGCACCCGTCCTGGTCGACCTCGAGGGTGAGACGGATCCTCTGCAGATTGCTATCAAGGAGTTGCGGGAGAAGAAGATCCCTCTGATTGTGCGCCGGTACCTGCCGGACGGATAGTGAGAGCCCTTAACCTCGGATGTCATCTTCCCGACCATTTAACTGACCGATTCCAGCTATGAGGACTGGACCTGCGAGGAACTTCTGCAATAAAATCTTGGCGGCAATGGGATAAACGTTAGAAAACACACAGATTGCATGAGCGAAGGCGTTCGGAGTTTTTGCATTTCGTGCTTTTGGGTTTATCGAGACGGTCAGCCCTCTTGCGTTCGCGCTGTCCTAGCATTCCTAGGGCACGTTTACTGCCATCGTGGGAGCTTCAGCTCGATTGGATCAAGACAGGCCGGAGCTGAGTGACGGCGGACTTGGAAGGCAGGTGAACTGTATGTACGGTGCCGACTAATACCCCATACATATCCAGCCATATTTGCAAGGTCAACCTGTTTAACAGGGTTACTAACTACTACAGATGACACGCACGTATGTGTCTTCGTGAGACCACTTGTTCTTGACTGTCATGTTTGATGTTGTCTCTGAAATAGTTTAGCATCCTGAAATTTCTGCATGAAGGAACGACAACTAAGCTAATGTCTTGGACATAAGTCATCCAAGCTATTTTGATGTTTTCTAGCCTCCTAAACCTCACGATTTCATGACGAATATCAAGGCTTGTCAAGTCTTAAAAATCAGCACCCTCTCACACAAACTCCTCCTCCGTGCGTTTATTATGCCCAAAGTCCACAGCGGTAAATTCCATTATACCAACACACCCCACAAGTGCATCCACCTCTGCATCCACAATATCACGTCCATACAGCAAACAACCCTCTCATCCGTACTCCATCCCACACAAATTTTAGGAACGCCGCAACAAGAACCATCTCACAGCCAAAGACGGGTGATTAGTCTAGTGGTTAGGACGCTTCGTTGTGGTAAAAAGTAGGAGATCTCGAGTTTTCTATGTGGACTACCACAACAGAACCGAAGAAACCCCGGTTCGATTCCGGGATCGCCCAATCTTTACACTTTTCTTGACCTGAACTCGTCTTTTTGTTTTCTTTTCTTTTTTCCCCTTTTCTTGCGCTTTTTGTTGAGAGTTATGTCCATGATGTTTGTCCTTTGGTAATGCTTGATTCTTATGGAAGTTTCTTGAGAGCACAAGTCCAACGTCTGAACAAACCCTTTCCCCTTCAGCGAAATTATCTTCCACTTGGGCGGTTCAACCTTGGCGGGGTTTACAGAGAGTCAACAGGCACTACTCAGAGAGAGAGAGCCTACGAGGTGCATGGGACTTGGCATTCTTCACAACATCAGTATATCTCAAAGCAGGACATCAATGCAAGTGGAACTAAGTATTAACATTTATCACTAGAATGCTACGCCAGAGGTGCACAAATGAAGTCAACATGCCATTTCATCCAACATCAAAATCCGACCTATCCGTTCCTTTAACCCTAACCCATAACACATCACAATATCAGCGCCTTCCTTCACTTAATAGTGCCCGAAGCTAGGGCACTTCTTATTCCCATCAATCTTATTATTCAACTTGAGACAATCACTCAGCTGCTTCTCGCACTTCCGCACGGCAGTCATGTAGTCGTCCGTCCACTGGTAGAACGTCCTCTTACCCAGACTGCCGAGCTGCTGGCTGTTGCTAGAAACGGCAAGGAGATCCCGTGGGCCGGTATTCTTCTTCTGTCGGCAGCCCTCGGCGTACACCTTGATGCAGTCCTCGTACTGGTCCTTGCAGGCGTCGGCGCAGGCGGTGGAAACCTTGTTGCGCTGGTACCGTTTGCACATCTTGGTGTCGGGGTGGTCGAACTTCTTGAAGGGGTAGGTCGGCCAGTCCTTGCTCACGTCGTTGCAGGTAACGATGGGGAACGGGATGCCGCCAACGGGGTTAGATGGCTGCGTGCAGATGTTGGTCGGGGTCGGGACGACCGTCGAGGTAGAAGTGCTCGAGGTCTTGGTGCTGGTCGGAGTGGCGCACGGAACCGTGATGGTCTTGGTCACGGCCGGGTTGCCGCCCTTAGGAGGGTGCTGCTTGATGAAGTCGTGCTTGTGGTGGATCTTGCCGCAGGCACGGCTCACGTCTGAGCACCACTCGCTGAAGTCGAAGCAGTCAAGGACATCGGGCCACGAGGCGGTCAAGAAGCAGGAGGCGATCTGCAGAGTGCAGCTGGCCCAGGCCTGGCTGCAGGTCTTCTGGTCTTTCCAGTCGGGCAGAGGATTCGAGCACCACTTGCCGCACTTGTACTCGCAAGTGGGCGGGATCACGGTCGTGGTGGTGCAGACCGAGCTAGTGGTCGAGGTGGTGGTGCTGGACTTGGAGGTCGTGGGGGGAGGAGTGGTGGTCGGCTCAGGGGTAGTAGTCGGCTCCTCGACGGTGCTGGAGGTCTCTTCGGGAGGGAAAGTCGAGCTTGGCTCAGGGGCCTCGGTGGAGGTCGAGGAGGGAGCAGCAGTAGAGGACGAGCTGGACTCAGCCGGCGGGACGTAGCCGCAAGGCTCGAGAGAAAGCAGCTCATCGGCAGCATAGAGGCTCAGGCGGGAAGGACCACCGCAAGTCTGGGAGTTGTCTCCATGGCAAGGCATGTTGCACTCAGACTCAGGGGCAGCGTGGGTGCCGTTGCCAATGACGACACCGCACCAGCACTCGCCGCTGTATTCGGTACCAGCGAAGGGAAAGCCGCCATCACGGCAAGCTTGAAGACACTTCTCAGTGGTCATCTCCGACGAGGGGATGTGGTCCTGCTTGTAGACGAGGGCACGACCATAGGGCGAGTCATCGGTCCAGCAGCCGATGGGATCGTAGTGCTCGATGGTGACCTCCTCGGTGGCCTGGAAAGTAGGGTCCTGCCAGACGGAGAAGTGGTTGTTGCCGCCGCAGTTCTCCGACTTGTCGCCGTTGCAGGGGAAGCTGCACTCAGACTCGTCGGCCTCGGGGCCGCGGACGGTGGCACCGCAGTAGCAGATGCCGTAGTAGACGAGACCAGCGTAGCGGTAACCGTTGCCCTTGCACTCAGCAACACACTTCTCGACAGTCATGTCCTCGCTGGGGGCAGAGCTGCGGTAGGGCAACAGCTGCGGGTTGCCGAGGTCCTTGTAGCAACCGGCGTAAACGAAAGGCTTAAAGGGATCGAGGCACGGGGGCAGGGACACCTCGGTGGCATAGCTGTGGCCAACGAGGGCCGCTGCCGCCATGGCCGCGGCCATGGATCTGAGGGCAGGCATGTTGGAGAGGATGAGCGAAGGACTCTCGACTATTGTTGTTGCCGTCTAGAACGAACGGATGGGTAGTCCCTCTAAGAGATGATGACCCTGGAGACGAGAGGAGAGAAGGGGGCAGAACCGGGAAGCCATCCTCGGTGTGCTTCCTTTATACCAAGTGCCAGCCTAAACCCCCAAGTCCCCAGGTCTCGTCCTCTCACCCTTGCTTGTGCAGAGTGTAGACGGGCCTCCAGCTCCATGGATCAAGGCGAATTCAACGCGAGCTGAACCGGGACTATAGGGCGCGCTACCAGCATCGTACATACGCTAGTAGTGTAAACCGGGGATCAATCAGCACGCATTTCAACGTCAATACAGTCCCGTACAGTACATACGGTAAGTATTGGACCAGGGATAGACAAGCGGGAATGGCGCTGGGGCTGAGCCACGATAAACTAGTTGGCCCCGATAACGTTTGCTTGGCTGCGCTTTTTTCAGCCCAATCCGGCACCCCAACCCTTTTCGGCGCTGGCTAAACACATCTTGGCCTGGCCTGTTGCATGTACCTTTTAGGAATTGCGATCCGCCAAGGGACCCATGTGAAATGCAAGCGGTTCGTTGGCGTGCAGCGCTGCGGGACAGAGCGCCATGGCGTTCGCGAAACAGCTTGTGGCGGTGGCGTCCAGGGACGTCGTCCGCTTCTTCTTTTTTTTTTAAAAAAAAACACAAATATCGCTGTGTTGGGATACAGTTTAAGTCTTTGGGGAGCTGAGATCTCCCCACATATATAAGTAAAATCCTTAGAATCATCTGGTCAATCACAGTGGAAAGACATCCTTTCGAAAGCTGCAATTTGTATTTACATGCTGTTGCCAGTTACCTAGTAGTGGTTTGCCCTGGTAACTCATGACCTTGTCTCCTTTAGCGCCAGATAAGACGACAGAGGAGTGCAGCGAAGTAATTATACTATCCACTGCCTTGGGAGCTATTGGAACAGTGCAGAAGCTCGACCCGCGTGACGGCCTGATCGACGCTGAAGCAAACCAACTGAGAATTGAGCTTATTTCTTACTCTGCTGTGGTCTGATTGATGTCCTATCAAGTTCAATTATCCCTTAACACCATTGAATATCAACCTTTGAAGCTCATCATCGGCCTTCATTCCTCAAATATCGCAGCGCACAGTCCCTGCTCGCAAACATCGCCCAGTCAGTTGTGTCAATGATTGGTCAATGAGCGGTCCCCAGCGGGGGTTCCTGCATTAGCGCAGCCCAGGATCTAAAAACTTTTGCCTGTCGTCCCACTGCCGCTATCGCTGCTGTTGCTACTGCTGCCGGATTGCGCACCTTTTTCACTTGCTGCTGGCGCTGTTCGCCGTTTCGGTGACACTAGAAGCTTCGCTCATGCTTCGTGTGGTCGCCGGTTGCCGGAAATTCAATGGTTTGCTTCTTGTTGGAGAATCGAACCTTCAAAAGGCAACTCTACAGATCGAGTTCGAGAAGCCAAGGCAGGGAAGCGGCAGCTAGCGTCCATGGCTTTGCTTGACCACTTTGCGATCTGCACTATTCGCACGTGTTGAGTCCATTGATCGGCAGTCCCAGGAGTTTGGAACTTCCGTTACGCGCGTGTAACTCTACGACGACTATCATAGTTCTTATTGTTTAAAGTTTTGACTATAGGGATCGAGACGTTCAGGTTCGCTTTTCAGACACTTATATTACCTACATATAGGTATCCTGTTAGTCTCGCGGGAGAGCGCAGGTTGCATACACAGTATGCGGTATTGTCCAGCTCCTCTCATAGAGGTAACATTGTCCGCTTTATTGCAGCTTTTCAGCTGACTTCTCTCTACCTATATTTTTAGCTACACCTTTCCATTACTGACCATATGAATGGCTTTTTATCCGTCTACTAACACCAAACATGACAGTCTGCTGTGATACTGTTTGGTACAGTGCAGTCCAGCTTTTCTTCTCACTCGAAGCTACTATATGTATGCCTCACGCCACCATCAAGTCTGTTTCAACTCTGGTTGTCAGTACACTGTGAGGCCATCCCTTCCAAGGCACGCAGAGCCGCCTTTGCTCAGCTACTGCCACGCAGTCACAGTATTGCCTGACACCTGTTCTCTATTGAAGAACTATCTTAGTAGTCCATCGCTAGGGCTGAAAGCTAAAAAAGCGTCTCTTCGAACGGGCCGTCTTTACTGCATACTTGTAGAACCGGCAAAATACGGTGTAATTTTTGAGTTTTGCACGTATCGAAAACTTACAAGGACGTACACTGATGCTCCATAAGTGGACCCAATGATCTCAGGGTTTCCATTGTGGGGAGAAAAAGGTAGGTTGAGGCTCCATGCCAAGCCCGCCCATGGGTCCGAGCTTCCCGAAGCCACCACACAGCTCTTCCACAGCTCTTCCCCGCATCGGCTGCGCTAGTCTCCAATTTTGCAGCCTTTTCCGTTCCGTACATTACGTACTTAATCTACAATACATCCTGTTACACACCTTTACAAGCACAGTGACGGCGGGTTTGGTGATCATGGTTGCAACTCTCCTGCTCCCTAGACCAGCCATCCCAGCGGGTGAGGGAACATGGAAGCAAAATACCACACTAAACAGACAAGCTCTGCTTCACTGTCGCATTACAGTCCATAGATTAACATGTACACAGAGCTTACATGATTGACCACCCAAGGAGGGGAAAAGAGAGAACAAAGAAAGCCAAACAGAGCAGAATATACTCTCCTTGTCCCAATAGCCCAAAGATCTGTGCATTCTGTTGTGCAGATACGAGCAACAAGCAGAGCAGCTGAAGAGGAAGCGCGCAACTAGTGCAGCCTAAACGCGGAATTCCGTCCCATTGTTCTACAGAGTTCACAGAGATTCTCGCCCTTTAGTTTAGCTGAAAGTCATCCTTGTTTACGCCCGTCTTTCCTCCACGTGGACGGCCTCTCCGGGTTTTGCACTCACCGTCTTTCTTTAGTTCGAAGTCACACTTTCTCTGTCGACATCTTGGCCATCTGATTGCACAAAGAAGGGAGCATACTGAAGAGCAGAAAAAGACTGACAAGCCCTCCGTCACCCATGCGTCCCACAACCAAACCGACATCAAAACCTCTCACGATGTCATGAGAAGAGGAGTCTCATTTTACCCCAGTGGATTCTCTTTGCTGTGTTGTGGAGTTCCTCAGTATCCACCAAGGACTTGCTCACATTTCACTGTTCAGGCGCACGCACGAGGCGGCGCAAGGCGGGTGAGTTTTTCCCGCTTCTTTCTCTGGCTCCTCTTTGCCCAGCTCTGGACAGAACAGCTGCATTCTCCACTGCCCCTCCCCCTGTCCAGTCCAGCCGCCGAAAACCGCCGATCCGGCTCAATATTCCCTGTTGGAACCTGGAGACCCCTTGCCCAGGTTGAAAAACAAGATAGCCTAGCAACAGGCAGAATCCTTGGTTTGTGAGATTTGATCTGTCGAACTTGTGTGTGCGTAGCGAGAAGGAGCTGGACCATGGGTTCTTATGGAGAGGAGGTCCTTGACGATGGAACTTGGAAGCTCTCCAGTCAGAGGTTTTTCCACGTGGCTATCCGTAACATAAAGCGATCGACAACATCCGAAAGTTGAGAAGGGGAAAAGATGAGAAGTTGGAAGTCTTTTAAGGTGAGACGTGATCTGCGATTGTGCATACGCAGGTCGCTTGTATGACATCTAAAAGTTTTTCTTCCCTTCCTACAGTGAAGGTAGACTCCATACTGAGATAGTTAAACCCCGAGTGTGGGAAGACAAGCGCCTACATGTTGTCGTAAAGATCATGAACTTGCTCTTTGTCGAGAAAGGTTTAAGGGAGAACACTGAACTGCGGGCAACTGTCTTACTGTTGACAGCACTTGAACCGACACATCGTGATATTTATGACATGTAGGCACTTGTCTCCCCGCACTTGGAGTTTAAACATCCACTATCTCAGGCAAGGAGGGAAGAAAGCAGGTATTGCCATGAAACGACTGTCTCTCAAACTCAAAGTTCCATTCCGGAAAGTGGTCTGCAAGACTGCAGAGAGCCATAACAATTCCCAGTGTTCCTCTGACAAAGGATACTGTGATGAAGAGTTCAGCTTCAACTTCATTCTAATGGATGACTCGTAGACACCATCCCTTGTTCAGACACTGGAACAGAGACTGAACGCTCAATGTTAAAGTTAAAACTTACCATTATGCACCTCAATCCAAGTTCTGCAACTCACCTCCATCTTCGAGAAAAGTCATTTGCTCGAAACATCATCAAGACCTGCCGTAGATATTAGGACATTATCCGGAAATCCACTCTTTTTAGTAAGAGATCTGGCGGGTCAAACAAAACTAGCTCCTCACAGTGCATTCTTGAAACACATCCAGAACCCCCAAGACAAGAAAGTAAGCGTTTTCGCGATGTGGTTTCCTCGCTGAGTCCAGATATGGTGTCTCCCATAAAGGGATCAAAGGCACTCCGGAGAGCCGAAGGCTAGTCCAATTCAGTATTCCTCATATTCGAGGACGCCGTTACGGATGGAGTACTTGGCTTTCATTACATGCAAATGGATGGCTCACAACACGCACAATCCCTCAGTGAGACTTGGAAGGTTAGAATGGCAGGCCGTAAAGGCTTCAACTCGCCATTCCCTCTATCTCAGTTCTGCAACTCTCCTCTATGTCCACCATGGAAGATCAAATCACCAACACTTAAGACATATCACAACCACCCGGGACGCATTTTAAAAACCACTCATTTACCAATCTTAGCTACCTGCCCCTAGAAACCCACCCCCCCTAATTAAGTAAGGCTCCATGATACCCCTAACGTTCTGTGACGTGGCGTGACGTACGTACGTACGTGGATGCTACTTCTACAAACACGATCAATGCATGATGCATGGAAGCAAGACGACGAGACGCCCCGTTCCGTTACTTAACAAACACTTTACTTTCGTTCGTTCTTGATCTTTCCTCGTGTAAAAAAGGCAGGGGAGAGTAAGACCTGACTGACTGTGGTGAAGACGACCGACCCACTCCCTTCCTACCTTTTTCTTCCTTGCCTTGCTGCCTGCCTGCCTGCCTTCCCTTTCCGTCCCCCCCCTTGGGTAGAGCCTCATAAAGAGAAAGAGAAAGAGAAATGAGAAACCCGCAGTAGCAGAGAACTCCATGTTATTGTCCGGTAATGACATTGCCCTTTGCTCGGTGGAAACAAGCGAGTATAGTAAGAAAAAACCGCGTCCGCCAGCCTCCTTACCACCCACTACTTAATTGCCAGCATTCTCCCGACGGAACCTGGGCACCCACTTGCCGGGAGCGCCACTGGGCTTGAGCGGCTCCGGAGCAGGCTCTTTGGAATCCTTGCTGCCTCCACGGCCAGAACCGACACGGTCGAGGGGCACACCGCGGCCAGAGCCGGTGCGGTCGAGGGGCACGCCACGGCCGGAGCCGGTGCGGGGAGGAGGACCCGGAGGAGGAGCGTTGCCGCTGGCAGCAGCCTCCTTAGCGGCCGCCTCCTTGGCCGCCAACCTCTCGCGCCAACCGCCGGGCTTGGCAGCACCGGCAAGAGGGAGACGAGGAGGACCGGCGGACGGCACGTCGGACGACGACGACCTCTCCATCGGCGGGGGAGTGGGCCGAGCAGCCGGGGGCGGCGTGTTGTTCTCCGAGGGAGGAGCGGCGCCGCCAGCAGCGGCGGCCTGCTTGGCCGCCTCACGTTCTCTCCATGTGGGAGTCTTGCCACCGATAAGGTTAAGACGTGGTGGACCGCTGGTAGAGATGGGCTGCGGCTCGCGGATGGGCAGAGAACCAGCAGCGGCGGCGGCAGCCTGCTTCTCCTTCTCGGCGCGACGACGGGCCATGGCCTCTTCCTCGCGCTGTTGCTGTCGAGCAGCAGCCTCGCGGGCACGCTCGCGTTCCTTCTCGCGTTCCTCGCGCAGCCTCTGCAGCTCCTCCCGGCGAGCCTCCTGCCGCTTCCTCTCCTCCTCCCTCTCGCGAGCAGCCCGCTCTTCGGCCTCGCGGAGGGCACGCTCCTTCTCCTCGCGTTCGCGCTTCTCGCGGAGCTTGCGCTCGCGATATTCCTTCCGGCGCTGGTTGACGGCCTTCTCGAACTCGCGCTCGGCATCGCGGCGGCGCTTCTCGAATTGCTCGCGACGACGCTCGTGGAGCTCGGCACGGAAGGACTCGTAGAAGGGCATGAGGCGGCTGAGACGATGCTTGAGCTCCAGATCCTCCTTGTGCTTCTGCTCGGCCTCCTTGAGGGTCCGGGCCTTCATAGCCTCGTACGCGGCAAGATCGCGCTCGCGCTGCTTGGCATAATCTTCGGGAAGCTTCTTGGCCTCTTCTCTCCTGTAGGCACGCTCCAGGTGGTCGAGACGCTTGCCAGTGATACGCAGCTTCTCGGCAATGGTGTTCTTCTCGCGCTCGAGTTGCTGCAGCTTGATCATGCGGATCTTGTTGCTGTCGAGGTTCTCGAGGTCCTCGAGGTTTACCGAGTCGAGCTTCATGTCCTTGAGCATGTTCTCGACCTCCTTGCGCTTGATGGCCTCGCGTTCGCTCTGCAGACGCTTCTGCTCGCGGATGCGAGCCTCCTCGGCCAAGCGAGCAGCCTCGGCTTGCTGCAGGGCCTGCTCCTGGAGCATCTTCCTCCGAGCATTCTCCTTCTCGCGCTGGGCCTGAGCCTCCGAAGCCTGATCTTTGCGCCTCTGGATGATCTCCTTCCTGGCGAGAACCTCGAGGTGCTCCTTCTCGGCACCAGCCTTGGCCCGGGCAAGAGCAGCCTCCCGAGCCTTGATCTGGGCCTCGTTGAAAGACGGGTCGATGTAACGGCAGCTGGTAAACAGAGCCTCGGCGAGGCGGGTGAGCTGAGAGCGAACGATCTGGGAAGGAGTGCTCTGGAGACGCTGGACGGAGCCAGTCTCGCTCTCGGCGGAACCAGCAGCGGATCCGGCGTGCGCAGCGCGGGCCGAGGAGAAGACGTCAACGTCGAAACTAAGAACGCCAGTAGCATGATCCATACGGATAGACAGATCACCCTTCTTGTTGCCGTTCATGATGAACTTCTCAATCATGCCACGACTGACCTGGAACGGCTCGGGAAATTGGGCCAGGCTCTCGACGAACGAAAGGTCGACCGTCTCGTAGACCTGAGAAAGCTGCTGGAACAGACGGGTAAGGATAACCTGCTGAAGAGGAGCGATGTACTTCTGCATCTCCGGGTCGGCACCAATTTGCTTGAGAATGGGGGAGATCTTCTGGCAGATGGAGAGAGGATGGAAATCAACCTCCAGGATGGTGTACAGCTCGCGGATCTGGGGCTGGGCGCGACGGAGCAGAGACTTGGACTGAACATCGCGGAACAGGCTGGCGCGAGTAGGGGCCTGGGTCATGCCCAGGAGGTGGGTGAGGCGAGAGTTCTTGGTCTTGCGAGCCTCATCGAAGTCGACCATGGCACCTCGCGAGCGAGAGGTGCTGATGACGGGTATGGACAGAGCCGAGAGCACGACGAAGGTAGCGGCCTTCTGCAGGTCGGCCTCAGTGGCAGGCGGGTTATCGGCCTTCTTGCTCTGGCCAGTAGCCAGCAGGGCAGCAGAGTGGCGCAGAAGGTTGTAATACCGCAGCCAAGCGGCAGCATGGAACAGATAGTTCTCGCCGACGAGGAAGATGCGGGTAAGCTTCTCGTAGTAGTTGGCCATCATGATGTTCTTGGGAGGGCGCTTGCTGAGGGTGAGCAGTGTGTGGATGTCCTCTACACTGCGAAAGGCCTCCTGCCATAGCTCCAGATCAACAGCCACGTTCAGCTGCTGGAAACGGGTCTCGAGGTGACGCTGGAGAGTATCCGGGTCGCTCAGGTTAATAGCATGCATCTGAGCCGAGTACTTGGCGGCAGTCTGGACATGGTTGCGCAGCAGCTCGCAGAGACGACGGAACTCGGTCTTGCGGGTGTACTTGAGGCAGAAGTCGAAGGCCTGCATGGCCGTGCTCTGGTAGAGGATCTCGAGACGGGCATTGTTACGGAGGATATCAAGGACAGTCCTGTAAGCCTCCCAAAGGAACTTAAGCCAAGGGGTGACGATGGCGCGATCGGTACGGTCCTTGGATTGTTCGCCAGAAACGGTGGCGAGGAGGATGGACTCGGGAGTCTCGCTGGCCTCGAGGTCTTCGACAGCGGCACTCTCGATGCTCGACTGAACCTCCTCGGCCTTCTGCTGGGCGGCCTTAACCTTCTCGGAGGCCAGCTCGATGAACTTCTTGAGGACCAGCTATTTCCCTAGTCAGCAAGGGAAAAAAAAAAAAGGGAGCGCCAGTTGTTCCCATCCTCGGCCTCAACGAACCTCTATTGTCGCCACATTCGTGTTCTGGGCGATGTTCTTGTACTGGTAGAGGGCATCTTTGGCGAGCTTGCCCTTCTTCTGCTCGACCGCCAGCTCGACGAGCAGGAGCATAACCGGCTCGAGGGAGGTAATGGGGACATTGCGGGAGCGCTTCGAGGTGACGTGCTCATGCAGTAAGCTCAGGGCGGCAGGGGCCTGGTTGACCCCGATGAGCTCTTGGGCCCGCTTGAGGACATTTTCGGGCTTCTGATGCGGCGGGGGAGGCTGTGAGGTGGGGTGTTAGTGATGATGCTACTGGAAAAAAGTCAAGTCCGGGGACGAGATAATGGAACAAAGGCGAGGGTCGATGAATACGGCGACGACGGCGATAACGACGATGTACTAGTTGGCGATGGATTGTCGTTTTTCTTTGGGAGGGGGAGCCTCAAAGTCGGCAAGTCGGTTGGTCGCCGCATCACAGGATACAAAAGAACTTCAAAGACTCTGGGCACCACCTTGTCCTGCTCTTGGGTTTCAACTTACCATGATGGGCAATCTCCTCTGCACGGCGCCGGGATCGAGGAGACGTAAGATGTTCCTAAAAAGCAGCACAAGTGCAGCGTGAGGGGTTGCTGGCGACTTGGCTGGCGCTGTCCAGAGATTTTTTCGCCTCGTGGAGAAATGAATTCCACCGCTGAACCCAAGCCCTGACCAGGCGCCGTGGGTTACCTGGAATTTGTGTGGGTGGAAAATCCTTTGTCACGTGACTTGTTGATGTGCTGCTAACCCAGGCAACCAGCTGGCAAAAATCGGTAGCACCGGAGCAGACAGAGAGACTAAAAGTACCGGATAGCATTGGCTGTTCAGGCTTACAAAATCACCGCAAGCAGATTCTACTTTCTAATCGAACTCGTTCATTAACTCCTCGCGATCTCAAGGCTCGACTACGAACTTGGCTCTTGGGGTTATTTGCACAGGTGGGGCGGTTGTTTCCTCTGCGAATGGCGGGGCAATGGAGACCCTGAGCAAACCTGGAAGGCGGTCGCTACGGTACGTACCGTAACCCTGGGAATAATCCCAACGACAACAATGTACAGTACACGCGCATTGCCCCAGGGTCGATGATGCCTCGATGACCCAATCCGGAGAGCAGCATCCAGCGCCCGTGTCTCTGACAACGGTCTTTCTGCAAGGCGTTGCGGCATTGGCTGGTGTCTCAGAAAGCTACCCTCTTTCAGATGGCGCATTTGGACTTATCGGGGCGCCGGACGTGCGGACGGCCTGGAGGTGAGAAAAGAATTCTCTTGCTGGGGTAACCAACAGCTCTGATCTCTAGATCGACTCCCCAGGGGATTGAGATGTTAAATAGCACGAGAGATCTCCGTAGAGCAAGATATGGTCCGATCAGCGAGGTCCATCGCAGCTTGCGTGCAATGCTACGCTGCTCCAAACTTTATTGTGAATTCTCATCATGGGCATTTTCATCAGAGCTGATGGCATTTCAGCATTTTCACCGACATTGTCCGCAAGCGAGGGCGTCGGCATCAGAAAGGAAGCTGTATTGCTCGGATCGGGAGCCTGGCCCGAGCGAGGGTTTACCGACTGATCGAATGATGCTAGCGGGCCTGCGGCGGCCTAGGCTAACCGCGTCTGGTCATACCAATTTCTTGGGGCGGACGGTAGGAGCAAGCACGGACCACGGGCTGGTACTCCTGAATCATGCTTAGAAAGCCTGCTGCCCCGTCCAGCCCCTTCCAAGGTTTCCACCCAATCCCCGATCGCCCTCTGCCAATCCCGTTGGTGCATCCATCCTTTCGAGAATCTCGCTCGACTACCCTCCCGTCGATCTGCCCTTCTGCGCTTCCCCCCCCCCATCCCCATTGTCATCCCTCTGCAGGAGGTCAATCGCCGTCTGTCTGTCTGCCTGATCTTGTGAGCGACATCGCACGCGGGCTTCTGGCATCCGCTCATTGCTTTTTTGGTGAGTCCTCTCTGCACGCTTCGTTTTTTTTTTTTTTGCGTTTTTCCCTGGTCTGCGTCGCGGCCGATGGCAAACGGGTGCGACCTGCGCGTGCTTTTTGTGCCTACGACCGCAGCGCCTGCAAGCAATCACGTCGATCCAATTGGCCGAGACTGGGAGGGGAAAGCAAGTCATTGGGAAGAGGGAATTGTCTTTGCATTGCCCAGGCAATCAAAAGTCCAGCATGTTCACGTCCAGATGCGAAGATACCTGGCAGCAAAAAAAGGGGGAACATAACCTTTCATGAGAGGTGCGCAGCGCTGGTATCCGGACAGTTGGCTAACTCGGCATCATGAACCAGCAACAAGCACAACAACAACGCCCTCAACTACACCTCGCGACCCGTGAACCCCCAGATCCCTGGTCGCGGCATCCGGCCGTCGATTCTCATCCCGGCGGAAGAAGCGACGCGACCTCGTCATCACCACGCACATCCGCACGTCGGATCAGCTGGTTTTCTGAGCAAGGAGCAGCGTCGCGCGCGCCACCGTCCTCATCGCTGTCGATAGCCGAGCTCCCATCAGAATCCGTTCTCCCGCGAAAGCGCGACTCCTACACCCCTTCCGCACGCGTTTCCACCCCCTCTTCTACCAAGATGCCGCAGTACACTTCCCGCGAGGTCGGCGACCCGACTTCGATCAAGAAGAATAAGCAGAGCATGGCCGACCTCAAGCTCCGTCGTTTGACCGAACTCAATGCCCGGTTGCGTGAGGATCTCGAGCGCGAGCGTATCCCCGTGAGCCAGGCGGCGAAGAGGTGAGGACGCATTCAGGCCCGAGCTATCTGCTGGGAATTGCTCGCTAACTTGGCATAGCATCATCGCGTACTGCAACAGCACGAGGGACTACATGGTGCCGAGCGTCTGGGGTCCTGTTCCCAAGGGCGAGGATCCGTACGCGCCACAACAGAGCGGCGGCTGCTGTGTGGTGATGTAAAAGATCCATGCCACGATGCTCGATATCGCGTTCAACCTCGGACGGATAACCCTTTTCTCCCTCCGGGACTTAGTGTTTCACCCGCAACTTCGGTTCATGGTTAAATTGCCTCGGTTTGCAAACCTTGTGCCAGCGCTGCGTGAGCCTGCGCCGGAGTCGCTTGGACGGCCACGTTGGTACACGGCCCGCCGAGAAGCAACAAACCATGAATGAGCAATGTGGACAAGGCGATTCTTTGTTTTGGGTACGATGGTTCAAGGCTGGTTTTTCCCCCTCTACAATGGACGAAGCGAAATGGTGTGTGTGAACAAAAAAAGAACGGTACGGTATAATTCGGCGCCACCCCATCTACCAGTACTACTACTATTACTACTGCTACGATGAGGCAACAAACGGCAAAGATGTCTCTAAACTTTTTTGGTCGGTCAGGTGTCAGGCAGGAAAGGGGATGAAAGAAGAGGACGTTTTTATGGGAACTGACGGGACATGGCACGGCCTCCGACGATAATGTTTTCCAGATCATACCCCTTGCTTCTTTTTTTTTTCTTTCTCGGGGCGGCTCGCAGGTTTGCGAGGCAGCTTCAGCATGTAATACCTTTTTTATTTTCTCATTTCTTCCCCTCCCTTGTTTGACTGTTTCGCTTTTCTCCATGCTGTAACTTTTGGCTTCGCGTTCCTCTAGGCCGCCCTCTTCTTATGTACTGTATATACGATTGCCGGATTTCCTGTACAGGAATCTGAATGGATCGAGGTGATGAAAGTAACTTTTGGACATACATGCTTGTTCCCGTGGTTGTGTGTAGCCGCTGCCAGCAGTATTCAGGGCCAATTTGAGTGTCCAGTGCATTGGTGGGTTGAGGTGATGGCCAGCCAGCTCGCCGGATGACGCATATCTAAGCTTTCCCATTCCACCCGTTCGTTCATCTCACATTCTCCCGGTAATTTTTGTCTCAATACCCCAATTTTTTTTTTCTCTCTGAACCAACCCGACTTCCCCAACAGCCTAGCCCGGCTGTCGAACATCCCCCCTCTGGGTTTCACAGCCTGAACCAAAATCTTCCGTTTGTCTCATTCTCAATATCGTATATACACATTCTGTAATTTACTCTCAAACAAACAAATTTCCCTTCCCGTCACCCAAACTCGTTCAGACACAACACAATGTCCGAGACAATCGTCCCGACGGCTGCCACCACAGCAACGGCTACGGCTACAGAGACAGCGTCGACTGAGCCACTCCTCCCAAGGGTAACAATCAAATTCTGCACGCAGTGTAGATGGATGCTTCGCGCAGCTTATGTACGTGTTTCTTTTCCTCCCCTCCCTCCCGTCTCCCAACCCTCAATTAACCTAACCTAACCCTCCCACCAATATTGAAAAAAAAAAAGTACGCCCAAGAACTCCTTCAAACCTTCTCTCTCTCCCTCGGTGAGGTCGCGTTGCAACCGTCCACAGGAGGGGTATTTGTTATTGAACTTTTCTCCCCAATCAACGCCCCAGACCAAGAGCCAGGCAGTAGTAGTGGGAGTGGCAGGGTTGGCATGCAAAAGGCAGTCATTTGGGACCGCAAGGTCGATGGCGGGTTCCCAGAGACGAAGGAGTTGAAGCGGCGGGTGAGGGATGTCATTCAGCCGGGGAGGGATTTGGGGCATGTGGATCGTCACTCGAAGAAAGAGTGGGAGAGGAAGAATGAAGAGGGACAGGAGGAAGGGAAGAAGAAGGAGAAGGGGGAAGTTGTCGTCGGTGGGCAAGCGTGTGGTGTTGAGAAAAAGTGTGAGGATTGTCAATGAGGGCTTTGGTTGAGGATTGGGAAGAAGGGATGATGGGGGAGTTTTTTATATTTTTTTATATATATTTTTTTGGCATGGGGATGTAAGTTCTGTCTCTTGAAGTTCTGGTTCTCTTTTGCCGGTCAACTATCAGGGCTTTGATGTATCTAGATGTATAGCAGCGATCAAGGTTATCTTAGTTATGAGGATCCTCGGCGTTGAGCACCAATGAATGGCATGCTACTTCTCTAGATCACCAACTCCAATAGCACGTAGTAGCAGAAGAACGAATACAGCTCATCTTGCTACTACACGACAATTTTACTCTCCAAACCTAGCGCCTCCCAGTATGATTGACCCAAGAATATAGTTACCACACCTTTTTTTTTCTTACCTGTCTTCCGCTTTCAACACCTCAACCTAGTTCAGTTGATACTAGCCTTGGCATCGATGACATCCCAGCCAATAGCCCTGGAATCCTCGGAATACTCGTACCGCCGTCCAAGGAATGTTATTGTACTTCTCACTCACTTATATCAAGGTGAAAATGCGATTCAGGCTCACCTGATACACAACAAAACATACGAAGTAATATTGAAGGGTATGCAGCATAAGAAGTCGTAGAAACAAGTCAGCGAAGGGTCCTCACCACACAGAAATACACCTCTCAACCTTCACAAAACCTACAACAAACCACTCATCACAGAAGGGACCAGCATGGAGTAAACTAGCATTGACATCCGAAGGCAAGCAGGTGCGGCACCACCTGTGGAAGGAGCAAGAAAGAGAACCGACAAGAACACACCATCCTCATCGGCTTCCCATCCTCCTCACTAAATGAGGTGAACAGCATCGCGTGCAAAAACCGAGCAACACAATTGAGACCCCCTGTTTCCTCCATTGCCCTCCCAAATAAAAAAAAAAAGAAGAACCTTCAAGAGCGCAAACTCCTCCCACTTATCTATACATTCCGGGTTTGCCCTCGTTAGGAGTGAACAGACAAGGAGAGTCGTTAAATCGTCCCTTTCCCTTTCCCACACAAGAACAGTTTTTCGTGGTGCCCTTGCCCTCCTTTCCATGTTACCCCGCCACAAGATTAGTAAGACAGACATGGCTTCGCTCGGACAACGACGGCGATCATGGCGCTCCAGGGGAGAGACCGAGGCTCGTTCGTAAGACGGAGTGGCCGAAAGAGATAGGAGAAATAGGGCTACGATTTCCTCGACGATCAAAGAAAAAAAACAACAGAACGAAAACATGCGGATGGCATTTGGTTAGGCGAGCCGATGAGAAAATGCGACCGGTTCCTTCCTTCCTATGGCGGGTGGCGATTCTTGATCTATGTGGATTGGTATTATCGAGGTAAGCTGTTTATCGACCGCGACCGAACCTAGAAGATGAAAAGTTCGTCTCAACTCTTTTACTTGGCTTGCTTCCTGGGAGTGGTCGGTCGGCTGCCGCCTCCGAAACCGGGCACGTACTTTTGTTTCTTCTCGGCAGGTTTCAGGATCTGGAGGGAGAGGTTATGTTTTAGTATTTAATCGATGAAAGGAACAATGGACGAGTATGACTCACCTGGAAGGAGCAGAGCAAGCTCTCATCAACACTCATCATGGCACCGGCGTTGTCAAACTCGCCGCAGTAGTTAGGAGCGCTGAACAGCGTGACGAGCTGGCGCTTAGAGAAGAACTCGTAGCCATCCTCGACAACTTGGTGGGCGCGGCAGATAAGGTCCATGTCGTGCTTCTGGAGGAACCGCGAGACGACATCCGGGCCAAAGGTGAACGATACACCGCGGTCGTTCTCGGACCAGCCAGTAATGTCCTTATCAGGGTCTGACCAGAGCAGGTCGCAGAGCAGACCACAATCGGGGATCTGAGAGGGTTCGCCATGGTTAGTCCATCAACCGCACGCGCGAAAACAAGGATAGATGCATACGTCTGTCGGACGCATAACGCGACGGATCTGCTCCATCGAGTTGAGGTCAGGGCTCAAGCCACCGTGCATGGTGAAGATCTTCTCGTCAATGATAGCCGCGATAGGCAAGCAGTTGAAGCAGTCCGTGAAGGTCTTCCACAGCTTGATGTTGTACCGGCGCTTGCACTCATCGTAGAAACCATAAATGCGGTTGATAGAAGCGCACTCATGGTTGCCACGGAGAATGAAGAAGTTCTCGGGGTACTTGATCTTGTAGGCCAGCAACAAGCAGATGGTCTCGAGCGACTGCTTCCCGCGGTCGACGTAATCACCGAGGAAGAGGTAGTTTGCCTCGGGCGGGAAGCCACCGTACTCGAAGAGGCGCAGGAGGTCGTAGTATTGGCCGTGGATATCGCCGCAGATCTGTTAGGGGGAGGTGTGGGTTAGCTGGGCCCGAAGGTACCGAGAGTAACGTGAGGAAATCCTCGCAAGGAAGCGGGGCAGTCAACTCCAAATCGCGAAACTACGCGTTCCGAAGTAACTTGAAGGTTTTGTTCGGGCTACATCCTTACCTTGATGGGCGCCTCAAGCTCGAGCAAGATGGGCTGGGAGATGAAGATCTCGCGGGCCTTGGTGCAGAGATAGCGGATCTCGGACTCGAGAAGCTGGACCTGCTTGCCGGGACGGCTGCCCCGCACCTCCAAAAGGCGATCGATTATAGAATCGAGATCGATCTCGTGTTGGTCCGCCATTGTATCACGTTCTCAATCCTCCCGATCGGAACGGTGGTATCTGAAGAAAAGAAATCGAGGTTCGGTAGCGACCGACAGGTCCCAAAGCCGACCGACAGAAGGAAAAGAAGGAAAAGACGAGTGCGAAGCAGAACCGACCAAACGACCGCCTTCTTTGCAGCTAAATGATGATGTCAAGAGCAAAAGTTAGCATATGATTGAATACAGTCTCAAGACTTCATGCAAAGTCGCGTCTCGACCAGAGAATGCCAGGTCGGCTGTTGGTCAGTTGGTGGGGGACGCGATGCGAGCTGCAAAACAGTTTGCGTGGAAGACAGGCGATAAAAACGTTGAGAGGAATGATCGCGCGAAAAGATGGGGAAAAAAAATCAACGTACCTAAAGTGCAGAACAATTCTCAGCAACGAGTGGGCTGTCTTGGTGGAGTATTAGAGAGAGGGGAGAAAGCCCCTTCGTCGTCGATGCTTCTCAGAAAAGATCTGAGAGAGATAGGAATGGAGCCCGTGATAGCAGTGAGGTTGTGACCCTTTCAAGGGGACTGCTGAGCAGGACTGCGAGATGCCAATGTTGATATCGTCACCGCAGTTGGCAAAATTGCTGCAGAATTATTTTGCAGCAAGTGATAGGAGCGAGCCAACAGGCAAAACTGAGATGTGCTGGGCCGTCTCTCGAAAACCCTTGCAGGATGCAGAAGATTGTGTTGGAATCACCCGCGCTAGAAGTCAGCGGTGCGAAGCCGTCGAAAATCGTCGTTTTGACGTGTATCGTGGGGGATGGCCTTGGGCCGGTCGTCGACTGGGGGAGGAGGGAAATGTGTGTTTTGGGAAAGGATGGAACGGTCGGGGGATCGAGACACAGTCGAGATGGAAATGGGAGGAGTGGATGACCCAGGGCGCCCTCGAAGCTGCTGGATTGCTGGGGATGCAAATCAACCCAAGGACCGCCAGGGAATTCGCCTAGTCGTGTCTCACGATCAGCAAGACGCAGGGAAAAAAATCACAGATAACCGTTTGACTGCTCGGTGCAATGGAGAAGTCGAGATCGCCGATGTGAAGTTCGCCTGTTCTGCTGGAGGAGATGCTGCGCTGGGGGGAGGGTTCTGGGGGGGAGAGCAGAAGAGAGCACAAGGGAAAAAAAAAGTTCGAAGGCAGCGTTGTCCGTTTGAGCCTTCGGGTTCAGGTTGGAGGAGGCACCGCGGCTCTCCCGCCAGACTGGCAGGATAGGTTAGGACAGGAATGAGCAAGGGCAGAAGGGCGCTAGGCACAGCACAGCCCTGTTCCAGTTTGCGCAGCTGCGGGGGGGGGGGAACGCTGAGAACTGGAAACACCACTGGGCACCAGCGATCCGACAAGGCTCCTTTCGCTCCTTCCCTTCTGACCCGTTTCCACAAAAAATTGCAGCTGATGCGCGGGGCTCCGGGTTGTTTTGACGTGTTTCTTTTTATCTGCGATCAACAGAAGAATGCAGTTGCTGTGTTAACTTGGTACTTTTGCATCCACACTGCGTACATCGATTGGCTGTCGCAGGGCAGACATGAGCATGTTGCTATCTATCAACATCACGTGGGAAAATGCGTGGACTGTGTTTATGCTGTACAGTCGAGCAAGCAGCCCCGCTCTATCGCTTGGATTGGCCACCAGCAAAGCTCCCAACAGCGGATGTCGACCCCTCGTTTTCATGCTTCCTTGGCAACAAGCCGTGCAACCCTTCTCTCAACATCCCACTTTTTGTTGACAACATCATTCTTTTAGTGACCTTGATGACAAGGGAATTCTAAAGTAGCCTATGTTGCTGTGGATTTAGTGAAGATTTTTCAAGATATTCAGGATCCCAGGGGGGCAAAGACAGCAAAAATGCAACGCAGCCATCTCGATGACAATGTCATCGATGCTGAATATGCATCTCTTCTCGGTTCCATCCCCACCTGATTCACCTGCTTCTTGCAGCCACACAGCTCAAGCATTGCAGCCTCTCCAGGACGAATGGATGAGTTGGTTCAGTTGACAGGAAAATCTAGGCTTGGTTGGATCCTGTCATGTCTTCTGATGGAGACAAGGGCTGTCAACGGCACTTTTGCCAAATCCCCGGACAAGAAGAGACTCTTAAGAAGCTGTCTTTCTTTTTTTCAAGATTGACAGCCCTCTGCCCTATCTTCCCAGCTGGTCTCGGCTGGGGGCGGGGCGTGCCGGCTTGAGACCCAAGCGATCAGATCTTCCGGAGCCCTGGACTCCTGGAGGACTGCCACACACCCACCGAGCTTCCCGGACATTCAGACAGCTTCCCGGTTCTCCATCCGCGCGCTTGGCGCTGGGTAACGGTCTGGGCTGGGCCAAGGAACTCTGCGGCCTTGCATCCTGACATCCGTCCAGTCTAGCTTGACCCGGATCGGAGGCGGGCAAAAAGATAGCAGGCAACAAAAAAGAGTTACACGTTCTCCCCGGGTCTCGCCCTTCAAATCTTCGTCAACTTTGCCGCTCTGCCCTTGCCTTGCCCTTGGTGGTGGCGGCCATAGCACCTGATTCATTCCAGATCCAACGCCCGAGCCATCCAATCGACACACTCGACGGCCTCGGGGCGCTCGGCCTTCCAATCTTCGGGATGGCTCGAGACTCGAGGCTCGGAACCTAATCAGCGAGTGTGTCTCTTCCCAAATACCGTGTCTGGGCCGAACCAGTTTCAGTCGCAAACCCGTATGGTATGCTGCAGCAGTGATACATACTGTCGTATAGATTATCTGCCTACGACCTTACCTTGCCCATCCCGGTCTTTGCTGCTGCCCAAGGTTCTTTTCTGCAGCGTTTAGTTCACACCTTTTGCAGCCCAGCTGCACCCGATCGGCAGGTCCTGACTCGTTGCCCGCTTGGTTGTCGTCGGGAACAGCTACCTCGAGGCGTTTTTTGTCCATCTCAGTCGAGCATTGCAGCACAGCTCTTCCATGTCATCTTATTTGTGAATTGTGAGCGAGTTTATGCTCCGCGAATGCCTGTGACACTTCTTGGTCTAGCACGCATTCCCTCCCACATAGCTCGTAAGCATGCGACCTTGTTGAAAGCTCAATGGACGGGGCGTTCCCCCAGGCAGCATAGCAGCCCTCTTCCGTCTTACCTTGCTCTCGGGTTCTCGGACAAGACACACGCACGCACACACACACACAGAGAGAGAGAGAGAGAGAGAGAGAGAGGCGCTACCTTGAAAAACATTTTTGCGCTGTTGCAATCTACGGTTGGCCGCTATGGCCCATGGAAGCGAACGGAAGACGGAAGGACGCTAAGAAGCCCCTCCTTTACATATATTATTCATCCTTACCCTACCCATAACCCACATTTGCAGGGGCGCGGCAGGCGGCAGTGGCACTCACACATGCGAGTGAGCGAGAGCGGATGGAGCGGGGCAGAGTTACCCCTCCATTCCCCTCCATCCAAGTAGACCCCTCTATGCATCTAAGGGTCGGTAGGCAGCCCCTCTATCCACTCAACACATTTCCATCTTTCCGTCTTTCTGGGTTTGATTTTCTGGAAAAGAGTCCATGTTGGGCCTTTGTTGACCTTCCCTACTTCCGGACCCTCTTGCTAGATGGGTTTCTGTCCCCAATGGTGTCATAACGTGTCCAAACTCATCAAAGACAAGATCACGAGAAGCAGTTAGCCGTTTGCCTGTCTGGCTACCTCTGACTTCCTTGAACTGAGCTTCTCTAGCTCGGCTACCTAGGTAACCGCCAATGTACATGTCAGTCTAGCTCGGCTACCTAGGTAACCGCCAATGTACATGTCAGTGTGGTAGGTTCTGTAGGTCGGGTAGGAATGGTGGCTTTGACGGGGCCACATGATTATTGCCTCTCCGTCTTGGTAGGCAAACTGTCACAGTACGTGCCACCATGCAAGCTATCTGCTTCAAGCCATGAACTGATAAGGGGGGCTATAGGGCTATGTAGCCACGAACCTACCTACCTCCCCTACCTTGCTATCCCATACCCCTTCCAAAGCTTGATCTTTCAACTCTCTCTGTGCCTTGCTAGGTGCTAGTAGCTACCCCGCGATGCACTCTTGGTGAACCTCCCCAGGAACCGTCCCCTCACTCTCCCAGACATCTTCTCCTCTACGCAACAACTATTATACTATCGTGCATTTGGATATTACTACTCACATTTCGCTTTACATACAGCATACATGCAATGGCCAGTTATACACAAAAGGTGCCGTTGTGGTAGCTAGAACACTGCATGCGGTGGCGCACACACACACACACACACACACACACACATCTCGATGACCTGCTGGTAGTGGTTCATGGAACACAGCAGCCTCAAATTGAGAATCAAGGACCGGAAATGTAACACAAACTCAATGATCGCTATAAGAGGGGAAGGACTGACCAGTAGGGGATGGGTGTTGCGAGATGAACAGCAGCTCGGTGTGTTGGGTAATAAAAGAAGGCGGTTTATTCCTCACACCGAGGGCTTATGACCAACGAGCATTCCAGGAAATAGATGGTCAGAATGGGCACCTATACTCATGGCAGCTGCTTGCAGCAGTCCAGATTTTCAGGTAGAGCCATCTCATTGATGAGATCTGCTTTGTTGACCGGAGTTCTTCCAGACGCTCAGCATACACATCCAACAATCCAAGATTAAGCCATCTAAGACGCATTAGCAAGCAAAGGAGGGGGGATTTGCATTCAAGACACCATACGAGGAACACTAAGTTGAAGTAATGTTAATTTGGAATAAAGCTAACTACGTCTCTTCCATCTAGGCCCAGTGACTGCCTTGATACATAAAATAGGTACCTAACACTCGGACATAAAGTACAATAACCCCCACACAAAGTCACATTCCCAACTCCAACCCCAACCGACCGCCCATCATAGGTAGGTAAGCAGATAGGCAGAAGAAGAAAAAAAGAGTACAAACCCTAACACGACACCAAACACGCATGTAAGCAGAGTTAAAGTATGATTTAATAATGAAATGAAAAAGCTCATTCCCTTCCCTTCCCTTCCCAT